AAATAAAGCATCCTAATTCCATCATATTGATATCACAATGTCATCAAATCAAATACTTCTGATAGTTCTATTTTATGCCATATTTACTTGATTCAATAATATGAATATCAATTTTTTCAAATGAAAGGAATGAAATATCTTCTACTTGATGATATTAATAATTTCTCTTATTGGAGAAACAACATTTTGATCCAATGCTTTTTTTACTTGATTCGAGTCTATGAATAGGTATTTCTTTGAATGAAGATATTATGCCCTCGGAAATCAAGGGTGAGCAATCCTGTTGCCAAAACTCAGTCCTCAGTCTACAATCATCATTGACAATGCTCACATCATTATGACAGGCCCACTCCGGTGAAACGGCATTAAGCTGCGTAGTTTGAGAATTCTGAATGTTATATTGAGTGTGTATAGGTGTGAATTGTTTTAGAACATAAATATCTAACAAATGCTGAACTTGTTGAGAGCTGGTGGAAGTACAGCATTGAATTCCCTTGGTGAGTAGGTACCTTAACAAATTTCGGTAGTCATTTTGAGTGAATCGACAATTTTTCAATTCCTGCTATAAAAATATCCATATCAAATCATACGGATTACTTTTGTAGCAAAATAATGACTGGTTGATGAATGAAGAAGTATTATCTACAAATGAGGTATTGCAAAGACTTGAAAGAACCTTGAAATTAGGTGGGATAAAGTTTCCTGCCGAGTATCTCGAATTTATATACCCGATATCTTCCAGAAGGCATGATATTACTGGAGTCACGATATTACATATTGAAGAGGTGAGTTTTCAATCAATTATAATACTTGTCATTGTTTGTGACCGCTATCATTTCCAGCTAAACTTCAAGAAGACGAAATCAATGCATGTGATTACTCTATTTGGGGTCATGATGGACTATACTGATCCAAGATGTACCTAATACCTATACATGGGCTTATTGTCAACTAAAGTAACAAAAATATATTTTTTCACCAATATTCTGTGGAGTTTAGTTATCTCATTAGGAATCATTCACAGTTTTGAATCAAAAACATTATTATATAACTATAACTAAGCAGTCAATATTTTGATACAAAAAATAGTCCCATTGGAGAGAATGGGCTTAATATTCATTTTGAAAAACTCATAAATTCGTATCGAAAATATCAATGTGTTCAACTGTTCATTGAAAATTGACGGAATGTTGACTTAAATAAATCGTTTATTCTGAAATGAGATAGAACAATTCTCAATAATAGTAATCGATAGTTGCGAATTGAGAAAATGATTGTTTTCACTTGGTGGGTGGAGTTTATACCTCAAAATTATGGTTTTCCTGAAATAAGTGATTGATTTTGTCAATATGAATCAATCCAATTCTCACTTCAACATAACAAACGTCTCCATTCATGCATATCATAATTTTCCAAATGAATCATTGTTTCGAAACAAGAATATATCATCTCTTTCGTTATATACAAAAAATATTATTTTATTGGACCAATGCAATCATGCTCAATACAAGAGATTTTTTTGTGTGTGTAAATAATTTATATTTTACGTATTACTCAGAGACATAGCATCATGCACATAGTGAAAGAGCATCAAATTTCCTTTCGAGCTCATGTGAATTTCGTCATTGTGAAAAAAGATGAACGGTTGTTAGAGTGCTCGGACTTGGAGACGTCCTGTAGTAATATAGTTGCCACACTCATGGTAATCCTTTCAACTTATATGACTTGGAACGAATGAACCTATATCCATTAAAGTTCTAAAACGTATAGATAGGTCATTGTTTTGTTTTCGTATTTTGTGGGGTGAGGGACAAAAATAATTGAAATTCTGTACGCTGGAATTATATAGTTGTTATAATTGTGATACAAATTTATAGGATATTTTCCTTATTTTTGATCGAAGAATCTGCTGTGGAAGTATCGCAGGCTGATTGCGGATATATGATTTGAAAATCGGCAACGTTATGCATAAGATGTAGGTGTAACAATAATTGTTAATCGATTCCACTCGAAAATTATACATCTGGGGGCCTATTCTCGAATGTCGAACGAAATATGTCGTATGCGACATATGTCGATAGAAATTGTCGCACAACGTTTAAGTGTGGTATTCTCGACTGCTTTCGACTTTAAACTCGCATGAGACAAATTTTGTCGAATAGCATGAACTGGCAACATCGAATTAACGATTCTCGAATGTGTTCTGTGGCGATGTGGTGTGGTTTCTTCGTTTTTATCATGGAGGTTATATCAATGTTATCTTGAAATAATGATGGCAGTGAAAAGAAAAAAAGTTATTGTGCTTCATCTCAAAAGGAAACACTCAACTCGATGAAAGAAAAATAGAATGAGCCACATTTATCTGGCAAAATACATGCAGAAGACCCATGTACCCTGTACCACAAATGGTTCTAGCACTCAGCACTAGCAGTGCAATGGACTCTCACTTATTCCTTACCTAAATGTTCTTATATATTTTATATCCGATAAAAATCTGAACGCATTCCTATATACGTTCTCTCGTGGCCGTTGATGATTTTCTTGATTTTCCAAATATTCAATTTCTATTGATGAAGCTGCCTTTCTCAAAAAAACAAGTGAAGAAATCAGTCAAATATTCAATCTCGCATTCGACATCAAAATGTCGACTGCTTAAGACCACTCTACAATTTGTCTATCGAAAATTTTCGAATGCGTCATTCGAGAATGAGCTCTCTCGTTTTTTGTTCGACAATGTACAAATCTCGCATGCGACAAAATATCTCACCATTTGAGAATAGGGTCCCTGATCGGTGTGCATATATGCATACAGAAAAGTTCGAGCAGTATTTAATGTAGTGTCCCACCCTGTATTGAACAGTCCTGAGAGAAATTTTGACTCGATATTATTTTCACTGCATTGGGCATAACAAATTCAGTTCTTATCACATGAGGAGCCCCCTTCAAGGAGGGGTTGATTTCTTATGTTTATCAAATCTTTTCTCGCTATTTCCGTTCGAAGAATCTGCTACTGAAGTATGGCACATCAAGTCTTGATATCTCCAAGGCATTCGATCGAGTCTGGCACCACGGACTCCTTGTCAAGCTTCCATCTTACGGCTTGCCTCCCCAGCTATATTCTCTGCTAGCTAGTTTTCTCTCAAACAGGTCTCTCCATGTAGTGGTCGACGGAGTATCATCTGACTCTCTTACCATAAATACTGGTGTTCCGCAAGGATCAGTTTTAGCACCAACATTATTTCTACTCCATATCAACGATTTGTTGGAAGCAATTTCATGTGCAGTACACAGCTTCGCGGATGATAGTACCCTCCATACCGCCTTCTCTTCCAGGGCTCCAATACCAGTCAGGCAAATCAGAAACGAACGAGAGAGAAATGTTGACGACATAAATATGGACTTGGCTACAATTCTCGAATGGGGATCCAATTACTTGGTAGATTTCAATGCAAACAAAACTCAAGCATGCATTTTCTCTAAAAAAGCCGATCTCACTGTGCCATGAAGACATCCATTTCGATGCAATAACCTCTCTTGGGAAAATCACGTGAGATCAATTGCTGAAAGTGCATCCCAAAAGCGTGGTCTTCTGTTTCGGGCAGGAGCTATCTCACTTTCAGTCAGCTGCTCATGATTTAAAATGCACTGATCCGACCTGTCCTGGAATACTGTTCCCATATTTGGAGTGCAGCACCCAAACATACCCTGAAACTATTGGATTCTTTTCAAAAAAAGACAATTGGTCTCGTGGGTCATGCCTCGCTCGTGAACTCACTCACTTCTCTGGAACACTGTAGAAAATTTGGCGATCTGGCTCTATTTCTACATATTTTCATGGACGATGCTCTCCTGAAATAGGTATCCACAATTGTTCCTCCCTTAGCAGTCCCCGCGAGATTCACCAGTCGAATTGAGGCTTCGCACCCCTTCGTGTTCACTTTGGAGACCTGCGGAACATTTCTTTCCAAAGACTCGTTCATCCAACGAACAGCAAGGCTCTGGAATACATTGCCGAGGGAGGTGCTGACCCAGGCATATAACCTCCAGAAATTCAAGAAGAACACCAACTCCAACCTTATTCCTTTTGGTTTTCACGATGTTCTCTGAACATTACAGGATTTCCGTTTTCGTGGGAAACAGAACATAAAAAAAAGATGATTTCAATTAAAATTGTAATGAACATGAAGACTGCATAACTCTGTTCAATACACTACGCACTGTTTCACAACCAACCAAACCGACTTTTTACGCCTCGACATGTGTTTCGCTATTTATGTTAGCATCTTCAGGAGAAGATCAAAACGGGATGTTCTCTCCTAGTGTGCTTCTTATTTATTAGGGATATGTCGATTGTGAATTGGTTTCGAGTCAATCGGTGTAATAAATAGATCAAATTACTTACCTTGAGGAAATTTGATCGCAATTATAGGAGCAGTCCTGTCCGAACTTATTACTGAATTAATAACTAAGAAAGAGGAAACGCAGAGAGAAAAAAAGTTGATAAAAGAGTTTTAGAAGCTCAGGCGACAACCAATCCCACCTACTACTACAATGTGTGAAATAGTGATAACGGAGGACAAAGCTGCGAAGTAAAATATAACAATCCTCCTCTCTATTTCTTTCTGTGATGATTCATATGTCGTACCCCGATATGAAAAGATGTTATCATCATCCGCACGTCTAGGTAACTAGAGGACATTCCCAATTCCGATAACAAGCATTCAACAACCCAAATCGCCATCACTCGATCATCATTACTCTTATGAAATGAGAAAGATATGTATGTACGTAAAACAGATAAGGCTAATATGTTTACTTCCAATCCATAATAACAAAATCGTACAGAATCCATCTATAGCTCACGTGCTTTCTAAGATGGCCAGAGTCCGAATCCAGTGATTCTACAGAGAAAACTGTTTTCCAGTGGTTCATTGGTATCAGTTCAGTTCGCGTAATAGCATCCGCTGAAATTTGGGTAGTTTGTGTCGAAGTGAAAAAACATGATTGCGCCGAAATTAACTAGTTGTAACGGTGTTGGGATACTATTACTTCCCGCGCAAGTTGCAGCCCTGAGACCATCACTGACCAAGGGCAGTAGGTGTGCTTCCACTTCAACCAGATTATGGCTACCTCAGGTGAGTTGAGGGGTGAAAAAAATGGTTGAATTTTTACCTATATAGGGTGTCCGGAGAGGTCCTTGTCGTACATGATAGGGCTAATGGAGTGAGCCAAATCGATGTTAATACATACATAGTTCATTTAAAAATAATGTCCATCGCTATTCGTTTTTTTCATATGTTCTGGTTTCCACGAAAGGGTATATCCTGTAATGTTCAGAGAACATCGTGAGAACCAAGGGAAACTAGGTAGGAATTGGTGTTTTTCTTAAATTCCTAGAGTCTATATGCCTCAGGAACTACTTTCCTTGGCAATATGTTCCAGAGCCTCGCTGTTCGTTGGATGAACGAGTCTTTGGAAAGATATGTTCTGCAGGTCTCCGAAGTGACCCCGAAGGAGTGCGAAGCCTAAACTCGACGGGTTCATCTCGCGGGGACTACCAAGGGAGGAACAATTATTAATGATATTCAAGAAGAGCATCGGCCATGAAGATATCTATAAAATAAAGCCAGGTCGCCAACTTTTCTACGGTGTTCCAGAGAAGTGAGTGAGTTTGTGAGTGAGGCATCACCCACGAGACGAATTGCCCTTTTTTTGGACAGAATCCAACATTTTCAGGGTAGGTTTGAGTGCTGCACTCCAAATATGGGAACAGTATTCCAGGACAGGTCGGATCTGTGACTTATTGATCATGAGCAGCTGACTGGAAGTGAAATAGCTCCTGGCCCGAAACAAAAAAAAAAACAAGTTTTTAAGATGCACTTTCAGCAATTGATCTCACGTGATTCTCCCAGAAGAGGTTTTTGCTGATAGTAATACGAAGCAACCAAATGGATGTCTTCAAAGTATGGTTACTCCTGTCAAGCTCATTTTACGGAGTTACTGACGTTAAAAGTTTCTGCAAGTCCATACATATGCATACTCACCATTTCAATACTCATCCATGTTGTTACTAAAGTATTAGATACTGTTGAAACAATTAGATGTCATTTATGACAATGACCGCAACTACCATGATGTCAATGAATAAATAGAGGTATTTCTGTGACTTGAGAAAAGTTTGACATTTCATCTCTGCGGCCTTTTCTTTAACACTTTCGGATATTCTGCTTTCTATATTGAAATCAATATAATGAAACAAATTGTTGTTGATAATCAATTCCTTCTAGATCGAATAATCAAAATTAATTCGACATTTCACACAAATTTCAGATTGTCATTCAATATTATAAATATAGGATAGGGAACTACCATTGTCTGAATCTTTACACTATTCTGGCAGCTATTCCGTACACTCTCTAGTTTTCATTTCAATAATTCATTTGAATCTAATTCCACCCTCAAACCCTTGTTTGTGAACAATTCAGACAAAATTACTACTTCAAAAAAGTCTAAAGTTCATGAGCTTGATTGTAATGATTGCAACTCCTTCTATATTGGTCAAATTGGGCGGAGTTTCGAAATTAGAGCCACTGAACATAACCGATTGATGAACAGGAAAACGTACATTGATAATTCCAACACTATAGATTCTCTCACTCGAACCATATGATTGAATCTAATCATAATTTCAATATATCTGATGATATTGATTTCATTCAAATTATTTGTAATGAAGGTTCAAGGTTGAGAAATTCTAGGAATTCAAAAATAATAATAATCTCAATTTATCTTGTCTAAACTCTTAACGATCAAACCAATTTTGAACGTAGTTCGATTCTTTATTACTCCATAAACTCAATGAATAACATCGCATATATAAATCATATCAATTTGAGAGAGAGAAAGAGAGAGAGAGAGAGAGAGAGAAATGAATTCTCATAAATTGGTTAAATAGCTAGCATTCCAATGTTTTACGATGATATTATAATAATAGAAAGATAGTCCATGAATATCAATATCACTTGTTTTCAATTCAATAGTTGAATGATAACCGTTACAATTCATCTTGCATTGTGATGATATGAGAATGAAGGAAAACCTACTCATATGAATATTATTGCTTTCAATTGAATAGTTGAATGAATGGCATTTCAGTATAAGGGTGATTAAATTTTTCTCCTAAGAATGAAGTGAGTTGAAATGCTTCGATAAATATCGATGACTACTAGTTTTTATACCCCCCAGTCTGATTTGTGAAGGAGCTACAAGGCATTGAAGTGCACAAGAGCGGTAAAGGTATATAATCGATCCCTTGGGCGATCCAAAGTCAGTTGGAGTACCTCTCGAGGAAAAACATGATAGTTCTGTTCGTTTGTCTTGCTGAACTTGCTAAAGTTGATTTTGTTTCCATAGTTGTCTCTGTTCACGGCATGATGCAAACAGAGAAGCATAAGAAACTTGGTTTTTGAGAATTTTGTGAAGCAGCTTCTGCGATGGATCGAACAGGATTTTCCCATCAGAGAGTATTGCTGATGGAGATACCGAGCATAGATCAAGTGGTCCATGTGGGGAACGTGCCCAGGTAGCACATCATATTGGCTGGAACCCGATTTCATATTGGGCCGATATAGATATATCGTACATGTGAAAAATAATATAGGTCCAATATGAGAGTATATTGGACAAACAATATTGGAATAATAATATTGGTGGAATATTGGTTCAACCTGAGCTGAATATGGATTGTCAGCTACAATATTGGAGCAATATAGGTTGTAAAATTCGTTAACAATGTGTTGAAAAACATATCTATGAATCACGAAGAGAGAAACTCAAAGTCATTACCACAACAAGTTCATGAAATGAACTACAAAATGGTAGATAACGAGAGAAAAACAACTACTTTCCTGGCTATATGCCACGCAGAACATTGCATTACATCCTCCCGAAACCTATGCGATAGTTCGTATAAACGAATGAAATCGCAAGTGTTTCTTTCCTAAACGCTGAGCTGCGCTTAAGTGGTTCCGGAACGCTGACTACCTGCAGACCGGTTTCGAGCTCTTGGCTCTCATCAGTACAGGGCTGTCCCAGATAGCTTCTTGACCGCTATCTGGTGCGAACCTGACCCAACGTAAACACATCTCAGCATTTATACCATACGAGGCGTTCGAAGTCCGCGAAATGAAAACGCGAACGCCGAACGCCACCTGGCAAGGAAAGAAACACTCCAAAACAAAATCCCATTTCAGATGAAATGGGAGTGGCTGGTTGCCCGACTGGCGTATTTTCAACTAGGGAAAAAGCCAAATACTCAAAGTGGAATGCATTGGTCACGAAGAGAGAAACTCAAAGTCATTACCACAACAAGTTCATGAAATGAACTACAAAATGGTAGATAACGAGAGAAAAACAACTACTTTCCTGGCTATATGCCACGCAGAACATTGCATTACATCCTCCCGAAACCTATGCGATAGTTCGTATAAACGAATAAAATCGCAAGTGTTTCTTTCCTAAACGCTGAGCTGCGCTTAAGTGGTTCCGGAACGCTGACTACCTGCAGACCGGTTTCGAGCTCTTGGCTCTCATCAGTACAGGGCTGTCCCAGATAGCTTCTTGACCGCTATCTGGTGCGAACCTGACCCAACGTAAACACATCTCAGCATTTATACCATACGAGGCGTTCGAAGTCCGCGAAATGAAAACGCGAACGCCGAACGCCACCTGGCAAGGAAAGAAACACTCCAAAACAAAATCCCATTTCAGATGAAATGGGAGTGGCTGGTTGCCCGACTGGCGTATTTTCAACTAGGGAAAAAGCCAAATACTCAAAGTGGAATGCATTGGTCACGAAGAGAGAAACTCAAAGTCATTACCACAACAAGTTCATGAAATGAACTACAAAATGGTAGATAACGAGAGAAAAACAACTACTTTCCTGGCTATATGCCACGCAGAACATTGCATTACATCCTCCCGAAACCTATGCGATAGTTCGTATAAACGAATAAAATCGCAAGTGTTTCTTTCCTAAACGCTGAGCTGCGCTTAAGTGGTTCCGGAACGCTGACTACCTGCAGACCGGTTTCGAGCTCTTGGCTCTCATCAGTACAGGGCTGTCCCAGATAGCTTCTTGACCGCTATCTGGTGCGAACCTGACCCAACGTAAACACATCTCAGCATTTATACCATACGAGGCGTTCGAAGTCCGCGAAATGAAAACGCGAACGCCGAACGCCACCTGGCAAGGAAAGGAACACTCCAAAACAAAATCCCATTTCAGATGAAATGGGAGTGGCTGGTTGCCCGACTGGCGTATTTTCAACTAGGGAAAAAGCCAAATACTCAAAGTGGAATGCATTGGTCACGAAGAGAGAAACTCAAAGTCATTACCACAACAAGTTCATGAAATGAACTACAAAATGGTAGATAACGAGAGAAAAACAACTACTTTCCTGGCTATATGCCACGCAGAACATTGCATTACATCCTCCCGAAACCTATGCGATAGTTCGTATAAACGAATAAAATCGCAAGTGTTTCTTTCTTAAACGCTGAGCTGCGCTTAAGTGGTTCCGGAACGCTGACTACCTGCAGACCGGTTTCGAGCTCTTGGCTCTCATCAGTACAGGGCTGTCCCAGATAGCTTCTTGACCGCTATCTGGTGCGAACCTGACCCAACGTAAATACATCTCAGCATTTATACCATACGAGGCGTTCGAAGTCCGCGAAATGAAAACGCGAACGCCGAACGCCACCTGGCAAGGAAAGAAACACTCCAAAACAAAATCCCATTTCAGATGAAATGGGAGTGGCTGGTTGCCCGACTGGCGTATTTTCAACTAGGGAAAAAGCCAAATACTCAAAGTGGAATGCATTGGTCACGAAGAGAGAAACTCAAAGTCATTACCACAACAAGTTCATGAAATGAACTACAAAATGGTAGATAACGAGAGAAAAACAACTACTTTCCTGGCTATATGCCACGCAGAACATTGCATTACATCCTCCCGAAACCTATGCGATAGTTCGTATAAACGAATAAAATCGCAAGTGTTTCTTTCCTAAACGCTGAGCTGCGCTTAAGTGGTTCCGGAACGCTGACTACCTGCAGACCGATTTCGAGCTCTTG